CCTCGCACTGGACCTCACTAAAGCATTCGATACTGTCAAACATGACTATATTCTTAAGGAGATATCGGCTTTGAACCTGGGAGTTAAATTCTTCTCCTTCGTTGAATCTTTCCTTGAGAGTCGGACGGCGGCAATAAAACTGGGACAATCAGTCTCGGAGCCTTTCAAACTCGGACGAAGGGGTACTCCCCAAGGGGCAGTTATCTCCCCCCTTCTATTCAACATAGCCATGCGCAAGCTGTCGGCAAGCCTTTCTAAAGTTCCTAATGTCGGTCACGCTTTATATGCTGACGACATTACAATCTGGTGTCCCGGAGGATCGGAGGCGGCGGTTGAACAAGCTCTACAGGAGGCTCTGGACGTTACAGAGTCTTTCCTGGAAGGTACGGGACTGGCGCTTTCGCCGGAAAAGTCGGAACTCCTGCTGTACAGACAGGCTAGACGAGGTGTTAGGGGACTCACCCCTCTCGATCAGGTGCCCATTAGCGTTTGCACCAAGGATGGTCGCACAATTCCTAGAGTCAATTCTATGAAAATTCTGGGGCTTTAATTGGACTCTAAGGGATGCAACGCAAAGACTATAGCCCATCTCACCACAAAAACAGAGAACATTCTGAGAATAATTATGCGGGTGTCCAACAAGAAGGGCGGCATAGGCGAGGATATCCTCCTTAGGGCCCACCACGCTTTCCTCATGAGCCATATCATATACATAGTGGCGGCTCTCAATTGGACCAAAACGGAAAGAGATAATTTGGACACGCTCATGCGCAAAAGTGTCAAAAAGGTGCTCGGCGTCCCAATCACGACTAGCACAGAAAAACTCATGAAGTTGGGAGTGCACAACACCACTTCGGAATTAATTGAAGCGCAAAGGTCAGCACAAATAATTCGGTTATCGAGTTTCAAAACAGGAAGAAAACTGCTCGATGCGGCAGGCCTCCATCCTATCTTCAATCAGGGAGAAACTACGCAGCTTGATTATCAAACAAGGAATTCCTTTATTGTTGACCCTATTCCACGAAACATCCATCCCCAACACAATGAAGGTCGTAGGTTGGCGAGGGCTAGGGCTTTCATAAAGAACCTCTCCGGAACAGAGACATTTGTGGATGCGGCGCGCCACGCCGGCGGCAGCGGGTTTTCCGTGGCAGTAGTCAATGACAGGGGAGAACTTGTCTCGGCAGCTTCAGTGAAGACCTCCTTGGTCGATGTAGCAGAACAGGCTGCTGTAGCGCTGGCATTACTGGACACGAAACGCACCACGGTGTACACCGATTCCCGAGCGGCCGTTAGGGCGTTCGCATCGGGATTGATAGCCACAGAGGCAGCCAGAATTCTCCACAGCAAACCCCCGTCAGACGTTATTCATCACATAGTCTGGTTTCCCGCTCACATGGGACCAGACGTACTGCCGGGTCACCTGAACCCAAACGAGATAGCCCACGACTGTGCGCGAGGTTTCACAAGCCGCGACGGGGTGGTCTCTCGGGTGGGTTCGGGAGAGCTCGTCCACAGTGATCCTCTCGTTACTTTTCACGAGATAACATCTCATTACAGAGGAGAGTGACAGACTTTTCCTTTTCCCCATCATAAGCTCCACAGATCACAAGCAAGCACGCTCCGCATGCTCCAGACGGGGTCTTACCCCTCTAGGGGCTTTCTGAGCATGCTTCATCCGGATATTGATCCACTTTGCCCAGATTGTGGTGAATTTTGCTCTTTGAGTCACATGCTCTGGCAGTGCCCTGCGTTACAGGATTTTAAAACAGAAGAAGACTGGACGACGGCAATCACAGACCCCAGACAAGACGTCCAGCTTCAGGCTGTCCAGAGGGCCCGTGAACGAGCGGAGAGGCATGGCCTCTCTGTTCCGACATGGGACTAGCCAACGGCTGGCTGGGGACCTACATAGTTGGCCCGCCGCCTTGCCTCTCAGGACCAAATAAAGTTGTTTGTCCTGTCCTGGTATATGTGGAGCTAGAAAAACGGCCGCGAGCGCATCATGAAGGGCCCAATATACTTCAATGTAGCGTTGACGCACGCGCACGCTGGGCACAGTGGCGCTACGTTATCAAAACGCGAGCACTCTTTAGTCTGACGCCAGGTGCGATTGGCGCGACAAGCGTCCTTGCGCGGGGCCCGACGGCAACCGGCGCGCAACGCGACATGCTGCATTTCGCGCCGATGTGTTACTCATACAACACTGCGTCTCCCTCCTTTCGTGACGGAGGGACGCCGGATGCACTGAAACACGCATGCTTCAAAGCAACGCAGCGCGGCGCGAGCCGTCGAGTATAAGGCAGGACCGGCGCCTGGCGTGGCAACGCCGGCGTGACGCAAAGAAATCAACGCCGGCGAGCACGCCTACTGCGTCACTTCGAAATGTTTGGCGCCTTGACTGCAGCATGTAGTCATGTTCTCACATAACACTCATTGCATGTTTATCATGTTTTGACCAGTATCATACCTTCGTCATCTATTCACGCCCCGCAATGCTAGCGAAACGGCCGCGAACGCATCATGAGTGTGGCATGTAGTCTCGTTGTTACGTGACACGTACGAATGTCGTGATTATCATGTTTGGATGTGTCATTTACCTATCTTGTCTGTTCGCGTCACGCAATACCGAGTTTGGTATATGTGATGCTAGCGAAACAGCCACGAGTGCATCATAAGCGTAGCATGTAGTCATGTTATTACATGACACGCATCGCATCTTTATCATGTTTTGACCAGTATCATACCATCGTTATCTATTCTCGTCCCGTAATGCCAAATTTTGTATAAGTGAAACTAGCAAAGCAGCCACCAGCGCATCATCAGCATGGCATGTAGTCATGTTTTTACATGACACCATTCTCATGATAATCATGTCTGCACAATTCAAGTACCTTCGTTATCCATTCACGTACCCTAATACCAAATTTGGTATAGGTGACGCTAGCGTAATGGCCACGAGCGCATCATGAGCGTGGCATGTAGTTATGTTACATGACACGCATGTCATGATTTTCATGTTAGGGCCTGTCGCTTGTGTTCATCATGCAGTCATGCCATACCATGCCAGCTTTGTAACATGCAATGTGAACGAAACCACCGCAAGAGCTGCAGGTCCACGAAATTGCAATCATGGCATTCATGACATACATGGCATGATTTCCAGGTTATAACTAGTCAAATATGTTCCTCATACAGTCATGTTATGCCATACCAAGTTTGGTATTGATATCATTTTCAAAATGGCCAGGAGAGCTAAAAGTCGTATCTATAAGATGAATAAATAGATAGATAGATAGATAGATAGATAGATAGATAGATAGATAGATAGATAGATAGATAGATAGATAGATAGATAGATAGATAGATAGATAGATAGATAGATAGATAGATAGATAGATAGATAGATAGATAGATAGATAGATAGATAGATAGATAGATAGATAGATAGATAGATAGATAGATAGATAGATAGATAGATAGATAGATAGATAGATAGATAGATAGATAGATAGATAGATAGATAGATAGATAGATAGACGGACGGACGGACGGACGGACGGACGGACGGACGGACGGATGGATGGATGGATGGATGGATGGATGGATGGATGGATGGATGGATGGATGGATGGATGGATACGCTCTAAATCACCAAAGTTCACTTAGAAACGCTTCGCATAACGTCATTTCCAAGGTACGTGGGATCTGTCCTTTTTTTTTTTTTCAAGCTAGCTCTCTAACAAATACTCGTGTAAGTATGACGAGCATTGAAATTTGTGTGGCAGTCTACATGTCCATATAGCTGCCATATGCTGCCATATGCTGTCACCATCGCATTCCAGTAACGCGGGCAAAACTATATAAAAAATTGCCAGCTATATCGTATTAAGCGCAGAGGATTTTTCCTCTTGTATTCGAGCTCCTTGATGATGATGTTAAGTGCGGATATAATTACTATGGCTAAAGAAGCACGACAACACAAGCCACGTTTAAAATTTGGAGGAAGCAGGAGAGAAATAAAGTCAGAGAAAGAAAGGAAAAATCACTGCATATCCATGAAGTTAGTACTGATCCTGGAGCGAAGCTTGGTTTTAAGGTCCATAATGTCTACGTTGAAGCCACCGACCAGTATAAAGGATGGATGGACGGATGCACGAGCGGACGCACGCACGGATGGGGAGAGGGATGGATGGATTCAAGGGATGGAAGGATGGACGGATGAATGTACAGATGAAGGATTGGTTGAACGAACAGAGTACAGTTCATTTTTAAATCATATGCACGCTTTGGACGCTTTATGTACGGTATATACAAAACACGTGTTTCGGTTCAACGGAGACCTACGACGACGACGGCGACAATGGACATCGTGCGGGCATAAGGAGAAAATAGAAAGAAAAATAGAAGAAAACAGAAATAAACTGTGATAAACAGAAAAAACAAGCCGAACAACTGAAGAAGAGAACACAAAAGTTTTGTAAGAGAACAAGAAAGGAAAAAAAATCGAAAAGAAACAAAGAAGGCTGCAGAGTTCCGCACTTCCTTTAGGCTTGAGGCCCCTACGGCGAAGCTGCCTTTTCTGTTCTTTAAGTTCCGGGGTAAGGAAGAGGGGAGAGGATACATTGTAAAAATAAATGAGTGGTGATAGTGAGATACTTTTAAATAAAATAAATACACACGCAATAAATCATAATCAGCAGAATATAACTTGTAAATTATAAAAGTTATGATTTTAACCACTAAACCTTTTCTCTTTTTCAATAGCGCTTTGACATGAGCGAGTTGGTGCATACATAGATAAGCTTCAGCGTGAATTTATCGAAGACAAAGAAGACACACAGAACACAAACGAGCGCTGGTTTACAACTACCACTTGCTCTGTGAGCGACGTCTCTCTGTTCAGTCAGTTAAATGTGCGTTGTACCAGAGTCGTTATCTTAATTCATTTATCTAGTTAGCAAACCAATTCATGCAGGCTTTGAGAGCTGTATGCATACCCGTATGGTTCTGGCCGTTGTAATCGACGTAGTCATAGTTTGACTCGTTGCACGCATTAAGAAAAGCGTAGCTCAGTGATGTGTTGTAGCCGGGATAGTTGATCGGTGTCTCACCGCTCTTGCCGTGGTATTTCTTTACTGAAAACAATGAAATGTCAAGAATTCTTAATCAGGCTCATTGTTTTACATAGCTCGTGCCGAATAAGTGTGAACGGCAAGTTTTGGGAAAGGAACGTAAAGGTCAAAACGCTGACTATCTAGTGGCACGCTATTGAATATAGCATCGCATATAATGAAAGACTCCGGTATATGCGAAGCAGAAAACAAGGAGAATCAAGAGAGAGCATTTTGGGGGGATTTGATGACGTTGCATGAAAGTCAAATAAGTAATGTTGAACAGGTGACTCGTAGTTATATACATTGCATAATAGAGGAGAGTCTTTGAAGCCTCTTAAGCGTAATCTAAAGAACTCAAAAAGTAAATCAACTGGTTGGGACGCAGATATCTTGTTAAACACTAAATAAAGATTTGTGAACACATGATAATGGTTCTTGAGGGTGCCAAAAAGAGGTGCCTTAATTATGTCAGACGTAGATGCCTCCTTATACGAACGTACGATGATGAGCTGACGGATTCATCATGAAAATACCAGATATCGGCCGTCAATCATCAAAAGAACTTTAATGCAAGGCGAGGAGATGTTTCTGCACACTGATTGAGTGAAGGGCTGTCGTAGCTCAGAAGGGTTGCTGGTCGGGCGAGTTGGTCATCCATGAACGAAGCGTGTATTAGCGCAGTACAAAAAAAGAAAAGAAAGAAAGAGAGAAAGAGAGAAGGAAAGAAAGAAAGAAAGAAAGAAAGAAAGAAAGAAAGAAAGAAAGAAGAAAGAAAGAAAGAAAGAAAGAAAGAAAGAAATCTCTACGTCTGTGTCGTGACCTATCTCTACGTCTGTGTCATGACCCTTTCTTTTTTTTTTTGTACTGCGCTAATACATGCTACGTTCATGGCTGTCATAGCGCCACTGTTCTAGAAGCCTTCATGAAGTGTACGCAGATCGAGTTTATGGTTAACCCCTCTCACGGTACCTTGTCATCTGCGCAATGAAGTTTGAACCATTTGTTAGAGCAGTGCTACGCGGTGAAATTTTGCTTCAATCTGGCCGAACTTGGGCATGAGACCCATGACACGATGAAGAATGCTTATAGAAGAGATGTAATGGGTCAATCGAGTATTTTTGAGTGGCACAATGTGTTTTGTGACAGAAGAGAAAGTTGAACACTATCAACGGTCAGGACGTCCTGAAAGTCACGAAAATTTGTCTCTAAGTTCTAAATCGCTTGAACTCTGACAGCAGATGAAGTGTGCGAATGATATCAAAACAGTTCAACCCAATTGTCAAAAGCTCTTGCGCATGACAATGTGGGTGTAAACTTGGGATTCAGAATAGTTTGTGTATAATAGCAGGATCATGGAGGCTCCGTAACGACAATGTACCAAGCCACACGTACAGCTTCCGATCCAACATGGCAATACACAGTTACACAGCCATGTTATATATGCCAGATGTATTTCCTTCAGACATTCATTTTCCTCCGGCCGGAAAGGGCCATGAAAGCACGGCACCACAGCTCGATGTCGGCCATTTATGAAGCCTTCACGAAGAAGATTAAAAATATTGAAAATGATGCGTTGCAAGCGGCCTTCAGGCACTGGAAATGCTTTGTTAATGCAGAAGGAGTACATTTTGAAAATTATTACGTTGATGACCCCTGCATGCAGTACACTGTGCATGCGGCGCAGCACACGGCGAGCACTAATCAGAATGATGGTGAGAAGGAAGAGAGGCAGCCGACAGACTGTTGCGACAAGTGGTGGTGTACGCGGCGATCGCATCGGCAGGTCGTGGCCAATAGCTGGAACGTGTACTTGTTTTGAGCTGACGAAAGCTCTGAAGTTTTCCTGTTGATAGATGTTCTAGCTCGTCCATACATTAGCCACGTACTTCCCTTTCTGCAGACATCTCGAGAAGCCCCACAACCTGTTTATTCAAGTGAGCTGTTCAAAAATAAGTATGCGGAAGAAGATGGGCAAATTGGGTGAGTTGGTGAGGATGCATGGTGAAAATTTAAAACATAGCTTTTTTAAACACAAGACAAAGCACCATCCACGCCATGTGTGCCTCATCCCTCCTACATCTTGCGTTTAAAAAAGCACTGTTGTATATTTTAACTCTAGTAGTATATTCAATATAAATAAAGTAAAAGAAGCCATAGATACAGAGGGCAGTGTTTCTGTCACTGAAATTGTCCAAAGTGTGTTCACAGATTGATCAACTTACTCTGTTCTTCAGGCACCGTGCTTATGTTGAAGTTCTCGATGGCTTTGAAGTTCTCCAGCACATTTGTGTAGTTCCAGCCAGTGGCGTTGTATTCATTTGCCCAATTGTCAAAGTCATGCCTGCTGCCACGCACGAAGTTCATCGAGTTGATAGAGCTGGTGCCACCCATGATTTTTCCTAAGGTCATCACAGCTACCTGTTCCATAAAGAATCAAGATAAACTGTGCTGAACTAAAGAAAACTGGGGCGCTTTATGTCATTCTTATAAGATTCGGTTATGCACACATCGAAATGAATTTAGAATAGCTTGAACTCGGCACATTGACTCAAGTTTGAAAACTCAGCTTCTTAATAAATTATTATGATTCCTATAACAATGAAGAGTTATAAACAAAGAGAAGAATAAGACGAAATCACTGTTATATGCACAGCCTCATCATGAACCATGCGTTCTGTGACTTTGTTTTTTGAGTTTCGGGGACGCAAACATCTCCCTCAATAGCTCTCGAAAATGCTACATGCGTGATGATGCAGAAGCTTTTTTTCTTCTGTTTACACATCGTACTACATTTTATAAAATTTCTTCATTATAAGTCGAAGATCAACGCTAGAAGCTGTACGAAATTCAGGTGTAGTTGTTTATCAAATGAATGATGAAGTAACTTTTCAAATTTTACACTTTCTTCAAACAGAAATGTAAAACTAACACTTCAACAATTTCTACAAACTAACATTTCGACAAATAAAAAAGAGAAAGGACGAGCACGGTAAACTAAAAACAAAGACTGGAAGAGACAGATCGGGGTTCAAATGAATAGTGCACAAGCAGTCAAAAATTCATAATCACCGTGCCATGGAAACAGCTGCGACAGGTTTCGTATTTGCGCCCAGAAATACATTGGCGGATCTAGCCTACGGGATTGTTTACTGACGGCGCTTGGGAAAAGTACCGCCATCCACTGTACTCGCCCCCACGCGCTTGACCTCCTCTCTCCCTTTTCGCCCCCCTTCGCATCCTCCCGGTCTCCGACACTTTTGAGTGCGAAGCATTTCTTAGCGCACTTCGGTGACTTTGAGCGTATCTATCTATCTATCTATCTATCTATCTATCTATCTATCTATCTATCTATCTATCTATCTATCTATCTATCTATCTATCTATCTATCTATCTATCTATCTATCTATCTATCTATCTATCTATCTATCTCTGTCTGTCTGTCTGTCTGTCTGTCTGTCTGTCTGTCTGTCTGTCTGTCTGTCTGTCTGTCTGTCTGTCTGTCTGTCTGTCTGTCTGTCTGTCTAGCCGCCTACGACTCTAGCTTTCCTGGCCGTTAGGATAACGGTATCGATACCTAACTTGGTACGGCATAACATGACTGTATGACGAGCATATTTGGCTAGTAATGACATGAAAATCATAACATTTATGTTATGAATGTGATGATTTACATGTCATGGTCTTGCTTCTCTTGCGGTGGTTTCGTTCACATGGCATGTTGCAAAACTGATATGGTATGACATGATTGCACGGCGAACACAAGCGACAGACTCTAACATGAAAATTATGTCGTGCTTGTCATGTAACAACATGCCAACATGCCACGCTCATAATGCGCTCGTGGCCATTTCGCTAGCGTCAAATATACAAAATTGGCTCTTACGGTACGTGAATGAATGACGAAGGTATGAGACTGGTGCAAACATTATAAAAATGAGATACGTGTCATGTAACAACATGGCTACATGCTACTCTCATGATGTGCTCGTGGCTGTTTCGCTAGCTTCACATGTACCAAATTGAGTATTACATGAAGCTATAGTGGATGATGAAGGTATGTGACTGATGCAAACATGATCAACATGAACAACATGACTACATGCCACAATCAAGACGCCAATACACTTCGACGTGACACGGTATGCGTGCGGCGTTCATTTCGTCGGGTCACGCCGGCGTTGCCACGCCAGGCGCCGGTCCTGCCGTACACTCGCAAGCGCACGTCGCGCTACGTTGCTTTCACGCATGTGAAAACATTAGAATTCAATCAACCAAAGGAACAAGCAGGATTTCGAACAGGCTACTCAACAATTGACCACATTCATATTATCAATCAGGTAATAGAGAAATGCTCAGAGTATAACCAACCACTATACATAGCATTCATAGATTACGAGAAGGCGTTTGATTCAGTAGAAATATCAGCCGTCATGCAAACACTGCGGAATCAGGGCGTAGATGAAGTATATATAAACATTCTTGAAGAAATCTACAGGGGATCAACTGCTACCATAGTGCTTCATAAAGAAAGCAACAGAATACCAATCAAGAAGGGTGTAAGGCAGGGGGACACAATTTCCCCAATGCTATTTACCGCGTGCTTACAGGAGGTTTTCAGAAGCCTAGAATGGGAACAGTTAGGGATAAGAATCAATGGAGAATACCTTAGTAACCTGCGCTTCGCCGATGACATTGCATTGCTGAGTAACTCAGGGGACGAATTGCAACTCATGATTACGAAGTTAGACAAGGAGAGCAGAAAGGTGGGTCTCAAAATTAATCTGCAGAAAACGAAAGTAATGTACAACAACCTCGGTAAGGAGCAGCGCTTCGAGATAGGTAAGAGTGCACTTGAAGTTGTAAAAGACTATGTCTACTTGGGGCAGGTAATAACCGCAGAGCCGAACCACGAGATTGAAGTAACTAGAAGAATAAGAATGGGGTGGAGCACATTCGGCAAGCACTTTCAAATTATGACAGGTAGATTGCCACTATCCCTCAAGAGGAAGGTATATAACAGCTGTATCTTGCCGGTACTTAGCTACGGAGCAGAAACCTGGAGACTTACAAAGAGGGTTCAGCTTAAATTGAGGACGACGCAGCGAGCAATGGAAAGAAAATTGGTAGGTGTAACCTTAAGAGACAAGAACAGAGCAGAATGGATTAGGGAACAAACGGGGGTTAAGGATATCATAGCTGAAATCAAGAAGAAGAAATGGACATGGGCAGGGCATGTAGCGCGTAGACAGGATAACCGCTGGTCATTAAGGGTAACTGACTGGATTCCCAGAGAAGGGAAGCGGGTTAGGGGGAGACAGAAGATTAGGTGGGCAGATGAGATTAAGAAGTTTGCGGGTATAAATTGGCAGCAGCAAGCACAGGACCGGGTTAACTGGCGGAACATGGGAGAGGCCTTTGTCCTGCAGTGGACGCAGTCAGGCTGATGATGATGATGATGATGATGTGCGTTTCAGCGTGTCCAGCGTCCCACCGTCACGAACAGAGGTAGACGCAGTGTTGTCTGGGTAACGCATCAGCGCGAAATGCAGAATGTCGATATTCGCACCGGTTGCCATCGGGCCGAGCCAATGGACGCTTGTCGCGTCGGTCGCGCCTGGCATGAGAGTATTCGGCTACTCCAGCGACGTAGGCGGTGCCATGTAGCCATGCTCCGAAGCTGTCACACGGTGATAAAACTGTGACGCAGTTCGGTCTGTCAGTAGTCATAAATCAATGAACGCATCTTCACGCTCTGCGACGATGACGTAAACGCTTGCGACATCACCGTTTCGTCCGTCATTTCGACCTTCCTCTGCGCCGCCTATAATTGCTTGAAATATTGAATAGAGGTCTCGCGTTTCGCTAACGTATAGCGTCACTGTGCCCAGCGTGCGCGCGCGTCGACGTCACGTTGGAGTATATTGGGCCCTTCATGATGCACTCGCGGCCGTTTTGCTAGCTCCACATATACCAAATTGGTATTACGTGATGTCAATAGATGACGAAGGTACATCACTGGTGCAAACATGATAATCATGACACGCGTGTCACGCAAGAACATGGCAACATACCACGTTCATAGCGTGCTCGTGGCCGTTTCAATAGCTTCACATATACTAAATTTGGCATCACGTCACGTGAATAGATGACGAAGATGACGAAGGTGACGAAGAATAGATGACGAAGATAGATGACGAAGATAGATGACGAAGATGACAACCAAACATGATAACTATGACACGGAAGTCGTGTACGGCATAATTTACCTCCACCTCGTGATGTCGTAGCGATTTTAAAGTGACATATCAACCTTACTCATTTGTGGTTCGCATATCATCGATTCCCACTGTACGTGCACATCTGCCAATTTTTTTATGATACCTCAAGGTGGAAACAATGGCTTGCGCAGGCAGCAGTCGCTGCACAACATTGGTCGAAAAAAAATGCCGCCATATCCACGAAGTGAATGATGATGAGTGGGCGAAGCTCCGGAGGTAAACCTGGTAAACCATGAATCCTCCGTACATTTTGCCCACTCGATTTTATTGCAACGCTACCCCTAGCGTACGTCGCCGCACTATATCGAACGATGACACGTGCCATATGTGGCATCATTCCTATTTTATAACACCTCGCATCTTTCATAATCAACTACACGTACCGCCGTCTAGTTTATAACATCTTGCATCTTTTGGACGGACGGACGGACGGACGGACGGACGGACGGACGGACGGACGGACGGACGGATGGATGGATGGATGGATGGATGGATGGATGGATGGATGGATGGATGGATGGATGGATGGATATGGCTGTACCCTTTAGATCGGGCGGTGGCTAGCGTAATACTTAGAACTGAACGAGAGGTGGCTACATACAGGGGACGCACAGCCCACGCCTTAAGGAGCTTCGCTCCTTAAAAAATTGCCCGCAGCTTCCCTCGGAGGAACACTGAGGAGGATGCGGAGCATATAATTGGTTAACGGGGTGTTAAAGTGCGACTTACTTGGGTCGATGGCTAAATTGGTTAACGTGGTTGTGAAATGGGGTGTTAAATTGCTACTTACTTGGGTCGATGGCTAAATTGGTTAACACGTATGCGAAAGGGCGGCGCTGGTCGAAGGGACGTCGATCATTGTGTTTGTGGATTCGTTGGAATTCATTTCACCGCGACCTTGGACGTCGACGCGCCGTACAAACCAACCGACGAGCGGCAACTGAGCGAGCGAGCGCCGACCTTGAGTATATACAGCGCGACGGCGCATGCACTGTCAGCTGTCGAATGTTCGAGAAGGGAGAGAAGCGCAACGGCGCATGCGCGCGCGTCAGCTGCCGATGTTCTCGAAGCGCGACGGCGCATGCGCGCGCGTCAGCTGCCGATGTTTTCGA